TATTTTTTGACAAAAAAGTAGTATTAAATACTATTCAAAGTATGAAAAAGTAACAAAATTTATTGAGAAAGGTGGAAAACAGTAATAAAATTTAATTTATTTTACTATATTAATATTAACAGTAATTAATAATCTTGTAAACACTAAAAAGTATGTTCAGTATTAATATAGTAAAATAAATTAAATGTTATTACTGTTTTTCACCTTTCTCAGTAAATTTTATTACTTTTTCACACTTCCAATAACACTTAATAGTATTTTTTTAGTGAAAAAAAGTATGAAAATTACATAAAAAGGTTCACTTATAAGTACTATTTGCTGTTTAAAAACAATTTTTAAAAGTACTAAAAAGTTGGTTTTTGCCTACTTTTTTTTCACAGGGGATATATGTATACTTCTTTTTCTATTTGTATATGTTTATTGCATGCTGATGATTATTCTAAATTGCCAAAAACTCGAAATAAAGATTGATATTGGTTGAAAATTAAAATACATTTTTTGCCGCAGTAATAAACTCAATCGTTTCAAATATCTTCTGAACTGTAGGAATCGCCAAATATTTTTCTTTAAGATGTTGAAGATACTGATTCCACAACTTAAGTGATAAAAAGGAGGAATAGTAGGATTCTGACGTAAAAAGGAGGAGAAGGAGGACATGTTTCGAGAAAAAGGAGGAAAAGGAGGAGGTTTCACATGCCAGATAAAATCGGTATATTATATGCGATACGAAATTAATCAATCGATTTAAACTCACATTTAGTGTTTTTTGTTACATAAAGACTTGATATATATTTATCCTTCATTATTAATAAAGGAGAAGCTAATAACAATAGAAAAGTCAGTTGAAGACATAAGTATCTATTACCACATTCGACAGACAGAAAAATATACGCAATCATCTTATTTATATTCATTTTACGTATTTCATTGCAACGTGTTTAAGCCAAGTAAAATAAAAAAAAGTTTATAACTTTAGAAAAATCTGTTGAAGAAACAGATATCCATTGGCACTTAAGGAATACAAAAAAAATATACGTAATCATCGTATATATAGTCATCATGAATGTGACAGCTACATACTTGAATAGGTGAAACAAATGAAAAAGAAAAAGGCTATCAGTTATACAAAAGTCTGATAAAGAAAAGTAATATCTGCCAGCACATTAGATAAAAGAAAAATATTGGCAAGCATCTTATTTATAGTCATTATATGTACTTTATAGCCATGTTTGTAGAAACAAATATACATCAGCAGATTATATAGACAAAAAAAATACACAAACAACTTGTTTATATTCATCGAATGGCTTTCGTCTATTTTTTAATAGATAAAATGATAGAACAAGAAAAACGACTAATACCTATACAAAAGTCCACTCAAGAAGCAAATATGCACTAACAGATTACTTATACAAAATATAAACACAAACATCCTGTTTATCGTCATTAAAGGTATATCAAAGATAAATATTAAAACAGATAAAATAAAAAAGAACGAACTAAATTTCAGCTGTAGAAAAGTCCGTTGAATAAACGAATATCCGCTAGTATATTAGATAACAGAACACAAACCAGCATATCTTATTGATGGTATTTCAAAGTATTTCATCGTTTCCTGTTTCAACATATAAGAGGAAACTAAAACAGAAAAACTAAAAGCTAAAGAAAACTTCTTAGAACAAACAAATATACTCTAACGCATTAGATAAATGCAAAATATTCGCAAACATTCTATTTGTAGTTATTCTATTTTTTCATATATTCATGTTTATATAGATAAAAATATAACAAGTTATAGGAAAGTCCGCTGAATAAAGTGATATCCACAAGCACATTAGATATAACAAGAAAATAGGCCATCATCTTATTCATATTCATTCCATGAATTTTACAGCTGCATGTTTGAACAGATAAAATAAAGAAAATAACGAAACTGATACCTACACAAAAGTCAGATAAAAACAAACTATCAGTATCATATTTGATGAACAAAAGATCCCCTCATTCACTTTATTTGTAGTCACTTTATGTGTTCCATAACTGACTGTTTGAATAGATAAAAGTAAAAAACAAACAGCTATAGCAAAGTTCGCCGGAGAAACAAATATTCACTAGCATATTAGATATGTGAAAACTATGCTCAATCATCTTGTTTACAGTTATTGAAGCTGTTGTGTCTATTTCTCAATAGATAAAATGAAGAACAAGAAAAAAAGTACTAGTAGTTTTTTAAAGAACCTATGGAGAAGCAAATATACGCTAGCACATTAAATATAAGAAGAATATAAACCATCATCTTCTCTATTAGTCATTTTATGAATTTCATAACTACATATTTGAATAAATAGAATAAAAAAAAAATTAAATTAAATTATAGCTATGCAAAAGTTCTTTCAAAAAAAAGTAACATCTACTAGCAGATCAGATATACGAAAAATATTCGAAAATATCTTATAATCATTATATGTATGTCGTGGCTATACATTTAAATAAATAAAAGAAAAAAAAGAAAAAATTAATAACTATAGAAAAATCTACTGAAGAAAGAAATATCTGTCGGGACTCTAGATAAACGAAAAATATTCAAAAACATCTTATTTATACTCGTGAAATCTTTTTGCTATTATTCCCAACAGTTTAAATGATATGAGAAGAAAATACTACTATTCATAGAAAATTTCACTGAAGCAGCAAGTATCTCCAAGGACATTAGATAAATGAAAGATATAGGTAATTCTTCTTATCATAGTCATCATATGTATTTCACGACTACTTGCTTAAACTGGTAAAATAAAGAAAAAGAAATATACCACTAGCGATAGAAAAGTCCGCAAAAGAAAACAAATATCCGCTAGTACGTTGAATAAACCAAAAATATTCTCCAATATCTGATTTGTAGTCATTCTATGTATTTCAACCATAAATCTGTAAATAGATGAAATATAAGAAAAGAAAAATAATAATAAATATAGTGAAGTCCGTTGAAGAGAGAAATATCAAACAACACATTAGATACACGAAAATATTTCGTAAGTAATGATTTTATGTGTGTTTTGTTTTCTATCAAATGAGAGAATGGAAAAGTCTTTAAATGATTAGAAAGATCCGCTGGAAGAGCGAAATATCCGCTGACGTGATATATATTTTTTTCCTTTCCTGTAACGTTATATATTTAAAATTGTATTCATTTCTTATATTCATCTTGATGAAAAGAATCATACGACAGGAAAAGTCCTGAAGAAAATAGAAAAGTCCGCTAGAAGAAAGAAACATCCTCTTGTCCATCACATATATACAATAGATTATTTCTTTGATTAAATCTATTTGAATGTTTTTATATTCACCTCGATAAATAAAATCATGTGAAAAGAAAAGTCCTGAAGAGAATAGAAAAGTCCGCTGGAATACAGAAATATCCGCTGGTGGAGTATTTATATTTTGCTCTTCCTATCACTACTGATATACGTGACATTTCATAAGGTACGTAAAGTCCCACATATTCATAGAGGACTTTAGGTAAAGTGGACATTTTTTGGACCTTTGACATTGCTGAGAATTTGATAAAGTACAGAAACAAAAGGATCGTACAGTGGAATATGCAATATGATTTAAGGAAGCAATTAACATAAAAGTTTGAAATAATTATGCTCAAACAGATTTCGCACTAAAAAATTATTTTAACGAACGTTGACATAAGTGTTAAAATATAGGTTCGAGAAGATATAAAGAACAAAATATCTGCTTAGAGCAGATATGCTATCAGCAGAGGTTTTTCCTTACTAGCGTGGATCTGAACTTTCAGATTGACATAAGTCAGACTTCAGTTTTCTCACTCTAGAATGGTCATATCTGTCTTTTAATCACTACAATAATGACTTAAGAGTCCTGTTTCATTAGTGTTGCGTTCTTCACTGCTTATGTTCATAAGTTTTCTTTCTCTTGGTTGCTATCGAGGAACATAAAACTTCATACAACTACAAATTCTATTTACTAGTCATTCCATATAAGTCACGATCTATCACCATATCAGAACGCTTAGTGACACTCTTAGATTCTCAGGTCAAAAAAAGAATGATCCTAGACGGTTGCATACTACAAGGATGTGGATGTAAGTGCGGTATGTGTCGTTGTTTTGTTCATACTCACAACCTCTCTAACTGAGCAAAGAATAATTAGCGTACAATTTAATGTAAGATTTTGATTTTCATTCTCATCGAAAGGCACACAAAATAGGATGACCATAAAGCTACTCTCTAGAGCATAGTGTCTTCCTGAATATTAGGAGGGCAAATAATGGAAGCTTCATATCGACTTTGTAAACGCCTTGATAGAGAGAAACAGGAATAATCAGTAGTATTTCAGAATTCCTAAAGTAGCATGTTAAGAAATATTGAATGTAGATACTGTTGAACAAAGATAACTGAACACTGATGTGAAATTGTAAGAACTTTTTTTTCAACTTCGAAAAGACTTCGAATACATGTTTGTGTGTTTAGACTTAGAGTAGTAGTGGAATGAATGTGAGTCCTTAATCAGAAGCAAACAAAAATGAAAATGGTTGATAGCACCATATTAACAATAGGAGGAGAATTAAGGGCACAGAAACAATCACTTATTATACAAAATATTCGACAAGAACAGATACAACGAGACGTATTAGATTCGACTCATTCTCGTTTTCGAAAGAGATTTATGAACTTTGCAAACCTGCACTGTATTTCTTGCTAAGGAAGGACAAATCTGAGTTCCATATTTTAGGATATAATTGTGAACCTTCTTTTCACACGAATCTTCACATACTTACGAATGAATTCAGTACATCTATACAGTAGATGAGATACCCGTCTATTATAATCCTCGTTCTCGTTATTTTTCTAATTGTCCTCTATCTCTTGCATTCTTGATTTCTAGGATATGTGTCACTAGTATTACTCATAGTCATATAATATTATAGTAAACGAATTTAGATAATGTTCTGCACACAAATCGGTTACTTAGAGTCATTGTTGAATTTCAAATGTTTTTTTTTTAATATCAGCTATATTATTTCGATATTGACATATTGAGCGATCATTATTTGATAATGTTTTTAAAGCAAGACTGAGTGCTTTCTGATAATATTTTAAAGCCATTTGGTAATGTGAAAAAAAAACACAAAGAATACAAATATTACCATGAACAGCATCAGTATTCTCAGATTCTGATGATGTTGTGCTCACATTTCGTTTTATTTTTGATGACTGTTCAAAATAATTTAATGCTTTTTTTGTATCTTTAAGATCGAGCATAGACACCAGTCATATTATTATAAATTTTGGGAAATAATTCTTGTTTTTTATTTTTACTGAGTGTCTTTTTATGTTCGAATTTATTGTCGTGAACCGGTGAAATACGACAATAAGTCGATGAAGCTTCACCTTTTTGTTCTTTACAAATAGCTAATACTATCCTACAATTAACCAATAGTTTTAAATGATCATGCTTTGTTTGACATATTCGATCTATTATATTGTATATATCCACAACTATTGAGTAAATATTAGAGTAAAATTTCAAAGTATTCTGATATTTTTCAAATGCCATATTCAAATATTTTTCATCACCATAAATTAGTCCTATCTGATAAAAAGATCCTCATTCAGGCTCTGTAATCGAGGCATATTTGAGTGCTTTTTGATAATAAATTAATGAGTTTTTATGATCTTGTTTATGATAATAAATAGAACCGATACTTATACATGTTGATGTTTAAATAGATCGATTCGAATTTCAGTTCTAGATTCAAAACTTCATTGAAATATATCGATGCTTTCTTGGTATCGCCTTGTTCAGTATAGACAAACTTCATATAGTGTTCAATATTTCTTCTATTAAAGGGTGATCAAAACGTAAGCATAGTTTTTGAATATCCAATGATCTCTCAAATTGAATAAGTACAATTGTTAAATTATGTTCATTATCGTAAACTTGTCCAAGATAGTAATAAATCTTTGAGACATCTAAACTTAATTTCGATTCATCAAATTTTAACTCAAATTTTAAAGCGTTATTATAATATTTGGTTGCTGATCGTACCTTTGATTTATTGTAATAAACGGTCGCAATATTATAGTAAACAATTGCTAATAGTTTGTTTTTTGTAGTAGTCAATAACGCTAATGCAAGAGCTTTTTTCAAGTATTTTAACGCTGTTTTTATACTTTTTCTGATCTTTCAACAACATGCCAATATTACAGAATGATATAACTGCTTCTGCCGGTAATCTAGATGCGCGTTAGCGAGAGTGTCGATAGAACTGATTGATGTAAAGAACTTTTTATTTTTGCAAAACAGTCACTCTATATACAGACGAATCAGGAAAAGATTAAATTTAGTTGGAAGAAAATATGAACGAGAAGGAAAACTTCTTCGCAACATCAATAAGAGATAAGCTTTTGGAAGATACCTAAAGATGAAAAAAAGGCAAGGAGCGAAGCAAAGAATACATATATATATACATTGTCAGTACGATATCAGAACAGATGAAAGAAATATCAACGACTTGAATAGAAGTGAATCGCACTATAACAACTACTCAGCTATTGTGTCTCGACTATCATGAATTTCGATTTCGGAACTTCAAAATATGAAATCAATCTCAGTTAACTTTTACTAAACAAAAGACGGTGAGAAATGAATGGAGTTGAAGAAACAATAATCAAATTGCACTAAATCAACACAATCGCATACGACATCTGTTGAGAGTTGTCTCACGTCAATAACTAACTAAGGTGAAATATGGACTGTAAACTGGCGTTTGGTTGACTTCTAATAATCTAAATGTTGCATCAAAATAAAGCATGTGAGTCAATGCGTCGTGTCTTTTCTGTTTTGTTGTGAAAATTGCACCTTGATGATGCAAGTTTAGACAATTACTTGATATAAATAATTCGAAGAAACAGACAGCAATATAGTATACTATTGATTGTCATGTATCCTGCTAGTCGTAATCGATTAGAATCGTTAAGCAACGAATTAATACTTGATATTTTTGAATATTTTGATGCATACAACTTGTATGAAGCTTTTTATGGATTGAATCATCGTATCAATAGTGTTCTTCAATCAGCTCGTTTACACATTCTTTACGATCCATCAAATGAAAACAAAACAGGTTGGGATACACTTATATCTTCTGTCAATCCATCGCAAATTCGGATATTATCTTGTTATGTAGATATTAACATAGATAATCATTTTTTGTCTTCTGCTAAAGAAAATCTACGGTCGATTCGTTTACATAACACTAGTCGACAGTCAATGAATAAAATATTTCAACACTTTGCTGGTGATAATCAAATTAAACGCTTATCTATTACAGAACGTTCACGCTTTATAAAACGAAATGATCATTCTCTCTTTGATCTTATATTAGTCGATAATGCTTATCGTTTTACCTCACTTGTTAATCTTTCATTATCATGTAATCGTTATAGGAGTGTTTCCTCTGTTGGTTCAGTTCAATTTTTACAGCTTCGTCATCTATCGATTATTAACTGTTGTTGGTCAACAAATTTTCTTCAATTTCTTCAAAGTAATGTACCAAATCTCAAATCATTAAAATTTATTGGTTACTATAACTTATTGAATCTACCATCGAATTTTGTGTTGAAACATGTTGACGAACTGCATATGAATCACTCCGGTAGTTTTGCCAGTCTGCAAAACATACTCTCTCTTTTTCCTTCTTTGCACCGACTCTATATAGATCAGGGAAACAGTCGACGATCTGCGATTATCAATGGTATTCAGTGGCAGGAGTTGATTGAAAATTATTTGCCTAATTTGAGACAATTAACTATTGATTTTGGTGATGGCATTGATGAATACATTGTAACAGCATTCTATACAGATGAATTTTGGTTAACGAAAAAAGTCAATGTGAAGATGATAGTAAATAAAATACAATCTCGATACCGACTTGTCAAAACAATTTATTTTGGTCAACAATGGCAGTTTAGATACTTTGACAACTTTGATTTGTAACATGTGTTATATTATGAACCAATGCTTTATGAGAAATTTATTTCCAAAAGAATTGCATGATGTTTTAATATATTTATTTTGCATCAGTGGATTTTCTCATTGTCAAAGTGGCAAATAGAAACTTTTGAAATTTTTTTTCAAATTAAATTCATATATCCCTTGTAAGAAATGATGAGCTATTGATACTGTGTTTATGACTATGAGAAGTCTTTATAAAACAGATCAAGAAATATATTCAAGTAGTATATCATTGGCACCCAATGGTTCAGCATAGATACGAAGTCTATTGAATAATTTATCTATTCATGCAATAGTTTTATATTGCTTCAAGTAAAAGCTTCAAATATATTTTATTTTTTTTGAATTTCATAAATTAGCATTTTCAAAAGTTCTTCATTTATACAATGATTTCCTTCTAATTTAGTTACAAAATTTTATAAGATCCTTCTTGTCATATAAAAATTTGTTTCTGGGTTAAACGAGAATGCTTGTATGAATTCGCCTTGATTTCATGATGCTAAATAAGTATGATAAGTCAGTGTTTTACAATTAAAAAAATATGAAGAATAATAAAATCGATATTCTTCAAGGTATTAACCAAAGTCACGCGAAATACCATATCAAGAACCACAATATATACAAGACAAACAGTGAGCAACAATCATAAATCTCATAAAACAAACAAATCAAAATTCAGCATTGACTTGACAAGAGACAGATAACAAACAAGGACGTGATTTCAATTTAGAGGCATCAGAAAAAAGTAAAACTAATGTTAAGCACTGTCTTCTATCTACAACTATCATCCGAGTATATCTGTTTTTAGCAACAACGTTAGCAATAAAGACGGAAAACAATGAATCTATCATTTTGATATACCTTTTCAATTCAGATACATTGTGCTTTCAACATTGCTCTCAGCATTTTGAATCAATAGCAAATAATACTTCGAATGTCGTGTATTACCGCTAATACAAATGGCGATACCATTTTCGTAGCCTTTTTAAATAAAAATAAAAATACAAAAACTTGAAAAAGTTCTTTCTCTTATTTATTAGATCGACGTTGAGAACGTTTGAAGTATTTTTCTCGGTCGATGGACATTGGCAATGTTCCGGAAGGTGACCATATCGATGGTAAATTGGTGGTACTCGTGTTGAAACTCCGATGATGATATTCTCTTCCGATTCTTAGCATCTTAAATAGAATCGAGTAATGATAAATACAGACAGACGATGGTTTTTATGCTACTTACATCAGTAAAAGCGTGACATTGTGGTCGAAAAATAGTTGGCATGGTGTGTACCGCAGGTCTGTAGCTACCATACTCTTGATTTGAGGTGCGATAAAGTGGTAACGGTGGAAATTTACTATAACCCTGCCATGCACCTGAAAAAAAACATACATTATTGATGAAATCGGACAGTTAGTACGTACCCGAATTCTCGAATCGAAATGGGATGCCAAAGGTTCGGTATTCGTCACTGGTTGATCGTGTGCTTTTAATCGAGTTGTACGGCTTGAAAAATGCGCTACCAATAAAGGATGGAACAGTCGGAGATTCAAAGAGTATTTCACCATTTGGCCCAATTTCGGTATATTTCGCAAGTGGACGATCAGTAAAGTACTGCATTGAAAAATCTTCTATGAGTAGGGGTAACAAAAACTATTTTGAAGCAGGTACAAGTTTATTGACAATCTATACTTTTTTTAGCGTACTTTGCTCTTTTTTAATAGCGTTAAATTGCAACGATGTTTTCTGCTTTCATTTTAAAACACAAGTTATCATTAATATTGTTCAGCATACCGAAAGGGTTTGCCGATCGGTTCATTGAGAAAAACAACAACCTACCTATATAGTTACCAGATCAACATCGTTTCTTGCTTTTTCTCTTTTTCTCTCCCTCTCTCTCTCGTTTATCCCCTTGTTCGCGAATAAGACTCGTCGTTAATAATGAATGTTGACAGACACGCACATTCTTTCAATACAAAACTTCTCTAATTAGTACTTAATAGATTTCTTTTAGTGAAAAACTACGATGATAAACATTTAATTGATTGACAAATTCAGCAAACTCTTTCAGCATTGACTTGAATCGGTGATCATGACCTATTGATGTGGTACCTAAATGATTGTTAGATGATTGAAATAAGCAACGTATCAGACTTCATTAAAGCATGGATCCTTATTCGACAGGTGTGATTATGAGAGAGATCTGAGTGTGGTTTCTCCATTACGTCTCTCATACCCTCATTCTTACCCACAGCTACATCGATATACTCAAAGCATACCCAGACCACAGCCACAATCACGCTCTATGTTTCCGCTGGCAATGGTCTATAATTTACGATAAATAAAAACTATTTTCAGTTGACTGAACTTCATCGTTTCTCACGTCGCTCAAAATAAAAGAATCCTATTGTGAAAAGTAGTATGAAAACTTTGACTGTGTGCCAAAAGTTTTTTTAATGCTTTTCATAATTGGTTCAAGTAATAAACTATGATATACTGTGAAAACACGCCGTAATTAGGCCGTTCAAAGTTAGATCACGATTTTTTTTATATACAGACCTTGGTCATCATCATTATCAATTGTATTGAAGATTAATCGGTGTGATTTGATAGCTACAAAGACAGAAATTGGACACAATCGATGAGTAGTGACTTAGCAACATATGAGCTTCTTTTGTACATCGATGCTTTTGTTCTAGTTGATATTTACATGTTTATATTGCTATATGTGCAGCGACAAGATAGAGCAATGAGCCTTGTCCCTAACCTTGTTCTAGACTCGATTCTTAAATGTTGACTAATTCGAATTCAAGCTTGATTTGACTCAGATAGTATCGGATTCGTCTATCTCTGATCGACCACTATTTACTCACGTATATCTACACCATTGTAAAGTGATGATTTCGCTTGATTATTGATCATTTTTAATGAACAAAACATTGCTACGAGTACCATACAATCGAGTTCATTCATGTGCTATATACATGTAACCATAAAGCCAGAAGAAGCATTCAAAATTAGCATAGAAAATGGAATGAAAACTTCGTACTACAGAATGTCGATTCGCTGGTAATCTGTATGATACGTAGACGGATAAAAGTAAAAAAGAAAAAGAAGTGATAGAGCCGACGTAATTGGAGGTTCGTGAGGAAAAATATTGTAATGGAATCATTGGTTGAGTTAATTGCACTTCGTTGCTTACTGTACTTTTTCTATCAATGAGACGCACTTGAGAACATGATTAGGCAATAAATGTCATAGTCAAGTAGTGTTGTGAATAAAGAACAGGCTTTATTCAGATGTCACAACGTTTAGTATTAATTAATCTTCGAATATATATGTGATGCGTTCAAACAGCAATGGTTTTGTAAAATGCACGAAAATTACTCTGAGCTTTGGCATTCATGAAGGAATATATATATATGTCAAATACGCTTTCTTTTAGCCAAGCATTATACTTTGGTAATTTAGAACAATGACAATCGCCTTAACTACTGTCCTGACTGTATTGCTTGTCATCGCACATCCTGACGATGAAACTATTTTTAGCGGTTTCGTTCATGCCCTCACACATAAACTCAATGCTTATGTTGATCTAGTGTGTGTAACAAATTATGGCGAAGGTGGTTATAGACATGCGGAACCGTCTGAATCTCCCTATGACAATCTGAGATTATCAAACGAAACTATCGGCAGAAAGCATCTACTATGTATACGTCAACAGGAACTATTTGGTAGTGGACGAATATTTGGTACTAGAAAATATTTTTTTATGGTCAAATCGATTTGGAATACAATCGAGATGTCAATACAGTCTTTGAAAAACAATGGGATAAAGAATGGGTCATTGAGCAATTCCAACGAACAATCAAGAATGGAAATGGTGCTGATGGCTATGATTTAATGGTTATTATACTTCCAAGTACGAACTCGCATGGTCATCATACAGCGTCAGGTTTGCTTTCACTCGAAGCTATTGATCGTTTACAACGAATGAAGTCAGTTAACATATCCATACCAACAGTTATTGGTGGATCGGAATTCATTTTAACTAAATCGCCAACGTACGCTGAAAATGGACTAGCTGAAATATTAACAAACATAACGACATTCGAACTTCGTTTCAACTTGAAATGGAAAATGAGTAAATCGTCGTTTGTTGACTATAAAACGATTCGCTTTTGGGTCGCTGCAGAACATAAGTCTCAAGGCAGTCTCATGGATGAAATAATATTCGAATATGATCGTAATGAAGAACAATATTCTTATTTTGCTATCAATGAACGATACGGTGATCATGGACATCTTTCGATGACAAGAAATATATTCAGTCAACTTGCCAACATGCATCAAAGCGACAGCAAAAATTAGCTTCAGTAACAAGTTCAATAATTTAATACGAAAACTATGCTTTTATCTATGTCATACATTTATGATGCTACTCACAATAAAGAACATGCAATTTAGCGAAATATCTGTTTCACATATGATTTGTCTGTTGTATGGTCTATAATCTACGAGAATCAATTCGACAGACTAACTGGATTCGATTCCGATGGAGCCCTACACAAATTCATCAAGACCCTTTAGTAGTATTATCGAAAACTGTATTGTGGAACAAAATTTGGATCCCAGTGTTATGACTCAATAAGATCCTATAGTAGAATATCATTAGAACGTGATACAGTCCCATCAATACTAACCAGAGCGTAAAAAAATGAGGCTATACTATCGCTTATCTCACCAGGAGCCTATTTTCTTACAGTTAAATCTTCTCAAAAGTTATTCTACAAAAATTAACTATAAGATCAGCTAATATACACCTGCAAAGGTTCGTATCTATGTAAGTAGTTACTCCTTACTTGTTTATGCGCAAATGACTTAATGACTGAACTGACACTTCTATAGATATATAAATATATACACGCCGACACATATTTCATTAATGAACGCCTATCTAATTTACTTACGTACATCTCATCTGCTCACACAAAGCTCCTATGAAGTTCCGAAAAATACAGCAAAGACATTTAACAGTGCCAAAAAAACAGAACAATAGATTCCGGAAGTGATCAGATACAGAACAAAGGTCATAGAAAGTCACAATAATACAGAGTAAAGACTTCAGAAACTTGACGAAATTGTTAACGAACGAAGAAGCCCGGTGTAATAGAAGAAACTCCTGCAAGAGTACTGATACTGCATGCTTCAAATGTGCTTTTTTGCATGACTTTGGATTACTTCTTGTTTTAAAATATCTAGAGATCGAAGACCAATATGCAACTGTTACGAGAGAGTCTTGTTCAAGCGAAGTAAGCTGAAACTGGCTGATTACCCAGATTTAGTCATCTTGTATTAGATGATAATGCGGCAGTACTGTAGTTCCTAAAATAAACTAAAGATTATGATTTTCATGTCAGCATGATTGTAAAAAGTAGCCATCTATAGTCATATCCTAAGCGAGAAATAGATGACTGTTATCAGCTGAAAAACAAAGAAAACCTATCAAACCGGTGAGCTCAGATAAAAAACATCAAACTCACCAACTATCTATTAAATTCACAAAAAGAATGCATTCAGCATTGCCGATAAGTTTTATGGAAGAAGTGTACATATTTGCTGACCATAAGCAGGAGACCGTGAAATTTTCAACAACTTTATCGGGTGACAACTGGATTATTCTCGATTCCGATTGGGTTTTTTGTTTTCGATGATTTCGCATGATTTTTTTTCTCGATATTGTTTGTGTCTAAACCGTTTTAAATAGTTTCCAACGATAACAATCATTCAAAATAAAGTGCAGTGTAGAAGCACCTATTGGTCTTCCTGAGATGAAAAATAGGAACTAAGAGCGGCCATTTTCGTGTGTTTAGCTCAAAGATGTAATTCTACACTTGCATTAATGATGTTATATTCAGCTCGTACTTATCCAGACATAGTTGTTGTTGATGAGTTCAATAATGGCAGTCGGCTAAATATTGGTGTTACTAGTGCAGACAGTAGCAGTGAAGACGTCTTTCATGGATATGATAATGAAAGTTTTGCAGTCAAAATCAGTTCTTCTGCTAGCTCTCTCTTCTTCATATTCGATCATTGTTCCTGATTTCAACTACAACAGTAGACTGGATATTGTTGTAGCTAATGCTAGCAGTAAAAATGAGAGCATTTTTCTTGAGAAGAGTCATGGAATATTTGCAGCATCAATGCCTTTTCCAACTGGCTCTTATTCATACTAGGTCGCAATTGGTGATTTTAACAGTAATAATCGAGTCAGGTTCAAATAGATGTAATCATACTATATTATATGGCAACTTTAGTGATGTCTTTAGACTAAGTTCTCCATGGAAAATCCGCAAAAAACAGATTTAGAATTCGAAAGAAATGAAAAACAATGAATAAAATTGACCGATTTACTATATCTAAGTGCATTCATGAAAATAGACTAGTATAGATTATCTGTAAAAAGTATTTGTTTTTATTGCGAAATTCATTGCGAAACAATCGAAAGGTATATTCATGATTAGCTCATCAACCTCTATCGAAAAATGTATGTATAAAGGATACAAATCAGTTTAGTTTCGCACGAGGGGCAGTCTATACAAAGAGAATTTCATTTTTCTTTTCATTAATGGTAATGTGATATTACCCCATCATACAGATAGTAATATTTTACGCTGTTTCCCCTCTAATCAAATTCAACTTGATAGGATTTATTAAAAAAAATTAATATTTGAACGTTTTTTGATAATATGTAAGCACTAGAACCCACAAAATGATCGGGCAACAAAAAAAAAAGATTTTCTTTAAGAGCAGAAGATGACCGTTAGTAATTGCTTTATTTTCAGGAAGCCGTATATAGAAAAGTCTAATCGAAAAAGCGAAGAAAAAAAGTTTCAAATAGTAAGCGTTAAGCACACATGTTCAAAAGGATGTATGCAGGAGTTTTTACATCATTGGCAACAATTATATTTTATCTATTGTCGTTGTTGAAATCACCAAAAGATAGCGACATTGGACCAGACCTCTAAGCAATACCATATGTCTCGAGATTTCTGATAGGGTGTGTGGAAGGAGATCATCTAAACACAACCACACCCAGCATGAAAAATTCCTGTGTGATTAAAACTCAACGAAAAGAAGAATTCTTTAGAGACTATGCTAATTTATTGATTCTGTACTCATAAGCAAAGTATTAGTTTCATGGTGTAAAATCATTTGTAAAACCTTCTGTAGCTGCTCTTAGAAAATGCAACAAGTAGTTGCTATTGTAGTTTAAAGACAGCAATTTTTTTCTGAGTATTTTTTTATCTACCTAGCAAGATAACAGTTGATAAGGAAAAAATTTTCTCAAGAAGAGTGGTCGGATACTTATAGATTTACTCTAAGATAAAAATCAAAATTAATTAGTTTGTTCCATATATATATATGTAATCATGTGACGATCAACTATTGATTATTTCTATAAAAAGTATATGTTGAAAACTCAGTAGAGTAAAACTTTTTTTTTTGTGTTAAAATATGTATTTATATCTTAACATCAATGTTATTCTCTAGTCTTATTTGTTCAAAATTAGAAAGTCAAGATACATAATAAAATAAGCTTTTCTTTTATAAATAGAAAAAAAAATGAAAATTTTTCATTTTTTAGGTAATATGCCGCTACTAAAAATATGTGGCGCAGTAATGTAAACTAAATAAAGAGATAATAAGATCAAAAGAAATTACTTTATCTCGTGTTAGATAGGAATAAATGTTAATTAATGATGGGCACGATATATGCTGTATGCATTCTGATTTCCATGATTTCATCCCCGCAAATCTGCTCGCCTTAATTTTCATATTATACAACAAGAAATTATATCAGAATCATATCAAATTCATGTATAATTTTCATCATCGAAACAATGAAATGAAAATGAACACTTGCAAGAATTGTTTTAATATATTATATTTGAAAACCAAAAAAAAAAAACAGAACAATATCTTGAAGTTACAATTGTACATGTGTAGTAAAATTTCACTGACAAAAACATGTAAACCATATTAATATCTTTAATACTTTAATGATTCAATGCTATTATTCAATTATAAAAATTCTTAACTTCAATTTAGAACGATATTTATGGAAATAATATATCTATTTTATTTTTTCCTTTTGTCTTATATAATCAACATCTATAACAAAGTGTTGACTTATTTCTACTAAACAAACATATATCAATTCATAGCTTATCACACACTCCAAAGAAAAAAAAACGACTGAGTTAAATTTTAGTATCTAAATTAAATAATGTATCTTATTATGTTGTTGGATAATTACGTGAACGCATTGATGAAAATGAATGTTGATTATCATTCTAAATTGAAGAAAAAAATTTTAAATAATTAGAATTTTTTTTAAACATCTAACTAAAAAATTGTTACTTCATGATATGATGATAAATTTGATTTTGATTGTTGATTATCACGTAAACGCATATTATCATCTCTTAAATCACTAATACGATTTTGTAAATGTCGAATAAGTGAATCTTGATTTACTTCATCAACTTTATTTGAAGGTATTGGTTCAAATTTTACCTTAAGAAAGAGAAAAATAACAAAAAAAATTTCTTGAATAAAATATGAAGAAAAAACCTTTTTAGGAGGTTCCACATGATATGATGTCATTCGTTCATCATGATGATTTGAATTATTTAATGTAATTCGTTGTTTAGTCAAACTAAAAAATTTTCATCATTTATTTATTTATTAATCTATAAACAAACCGATCAAGTTCAGTGGCAATATGATCTTCAAGCTTTTGTACAAGATTATCAATAGTATCATTTTGTTGAGATGATAAATGAAATGGATTATACGAACTATTATGAGAACGATTTTCACATGTTTGTGATAGACGATCACTTTCCTAATTTCAAATGAAATGAATAAGAATAACAACAAAAATTTTTTTTGAACTTATTTTTACTTTTCTATGTTTTGAAAGTGAACTTCTTGTTGTTGATTGTTGTTGACGATTATCATCATATGTACGATTTGAATAATCTGTCGTCTAAAAACATTTTTTTTTATTTTTCATTAAAATAAAACGAAATAAATTAAAAATTTATTTACACGATCTGTTAATACTTTTGATTTTTTTAAAAATTTTGTTTTTGTTTCAATTTGTACTCTTTGTTCAATAATATAATTACGAATATCATCAACTGTATCTTGAAGTAATTTCTATTTATAGAATAAAAATATCTCTCTAAAACATATGATTAATAGTCGTATTAAATAACATACAAGTACACTTCGAGTTGGTAATCGTTCAACAATCGATTCACGATCATATGTAAATGATGAAATATGTCTTCACAAGCAAATAAAAAATAAAGCAAACTTATAAGTAAAAAAAAAAGAATTATACGGAATTGTTGCATAAACATGTGATGGACTATCCATAGCCATGAGTAATTTCTTAATTGAATCAGTTATTGAACGAACACAAGCTTTTTCTGAAGTTTCCAAATTAAGAAATAATTCATGTTGACGTAATGCTGCATCGGCATTTTCAGTTGAAACTTGATCTAATGTTTCTTCTAATTCTCGAACACGTTCTTGTATACGAGTAAATTCAGTATCTTTTTCCTATGATAATAATTATTTAATGGATTTTAAAGTATCTAATTGAGATTGAAAACAAAAAAGAAATGCCGCTAGGCATATTTTCTTCTTAGAACGAAACGCTATGCAGTTAAACAAAGGAAAACACTCAACATATAGAATATTATTATTTATACACGGAAGTTTTTCTTTGAAGATCACTATTAATCTTAAACGTACTGATGTCTTTATTCTTTATTTCAAAGTCTCAAATAAAAGTAGATCATTGTTAGTATGAACTCGTTTGTTTTTCTGACTCATAAAATATCTAAATAACAAATATTTATTTAACCATGTAAAGAAGTTTGATTATGATGTTTAATCGTAAGAGCCATTTCAATGGCTTTGTTAAGAGAAGGTCGAAGTCACTTATGAACAAAACTACTGAAAAGTTTAGTTGACTATTACTTTAGAGAGTAGAAGGTAAACTGAAGAACAGGATGAAATAAAAGAAATCAATACATCAAGAATTTGTTAGATTAAAGGCAACTATTTTATTGTATTTTTCTATCATATATATAATAATTAAAGTATCTAATACAGAAAAAAATTGTGACGAGGTTATTTTATACGTTTTTATTCATGTCATTTTTAAAATGTAGACATTTTTTCGAACTATGGCATAAAATAACCGGTCATTCTTATCTATATGTACTAATGATGAATTTGATCTTTTACAGGAGATACGAAATGTAATTTTAGCTTTTCCTCAAAAAATTGTTCATTTGTAATTTTTTTAATGGACAAGAAATCTATAAGAAACACATATATCTATAAATTCATCTATATCACTTCTAGAGGTGGTCTATGTAACAATTTTATTTACCAGAAGAGATGTGAAATGAAGAAAGTTAAAATCACTTTTAAAGAAATAGAATTTTTCTTTTCTTTACATGCCTGCTGAAATTGATTACGTAGTCGAGTAATTTCATCTTGAAATTCTTTTCTACACTGTTCTTTAGTACCATAAACAGCATTGATACGTTCACGTCCACTTTCTTTTAACATTAATTTAGCTTCACTTGATTGCTATAATGAAAAAAAAAAGAAAAAAAAAACTATATAATTTTATTTCGTATAGAAAAATATAATTAAAATTCTACCATTTGTGCATCATATAATTTTTGTTCTAACCGTTGACAACGTTCATGTTCAACATTTAATTGCTGTTGTAAATCTTTTAATAGACGTGTTTTTTCTTCTTCAAATTTTGCACGTTCACCGGCTAATAAAAGTTCTTTATGTTCATTCCAAACTTTTCGTTCACGTTCCATTCGATCTTCCATCTATTTAAAAAAGCTTCTTTTTTTTTTCTTCTTGACATAACAAAAAATTTCGAACCTGTAATAATGCATTTTTATGTGCTGATGTTAGAGCAATAAGTTCATTATCTTTTTCAAATAATAATGCTTTCAATTTAGCAATTTCACGATCTTTAGTCTATACAAATATGTATACAAATACATAACGAATATTTTTCAAAAGAATAATAATAATAATAAAATATATAAACAACCCTTACAAGTACATTCCAATTAGAATTAGCACTTGAACGTTGAGAAGTATTACGAACAAACTTTTAAAGACAAACAAACAAAAATAACAATAAAGTATTGAAATTACAAATTGATTAGGAGAATTTCTTACCGATTGTTCAACAGGAGCACAAGATGAACGTGATAGATCGTTTTGATGGCTTGTATCAATACTTTCGTTTCTAATTAATTAGTGAATAATAATATAATGATAAATTAATGTTGAAATTACATAACATACCTTAGTGAATCAATTGTATCATTTTTTCGCTTAAGTTCATTTTCTAATACTCGATATTTTTCTTCGAATGTTTGTCGTGGATGATGATGATGGTGATGATGATGATGAGAAGAACGTCGATCACTCATGTTTCTTCTATGTTATGTTGTGTTTATATTTCCCTCAGTTCATTGCATCAAAACCAGTATATATGAATGTCAGAAGAAGTTTTTTTTATATCAATAATAAAAACGTAAAAGTGTAGTGAAGCTCTAGATGATGAACGAAGCAGAGATCAATAAGATGATGGTAATGGTAGTAAAATATTTGAAAGCGTGCTGTTGTCGATGTACATTTCTTCTGATTCTTCTTACTGCACACAACCGCAACTTTAGCGAGACATGCACATATCCTTTCTCGTTTCTCTCTTTCCCGTCTCACTACGAGCTCTTTTGTTCTCGTCAAAGCGACTCCCTTTCTATCCATCATTCTTTTACTTTTATTCACACCTTTACGCCTTTTAAAGTGCTACTATGCTTTCATTTTGAAATAGACTTTTTGTATAGTCAAAAAAGTCATCTGTATAGTCTGTCGTGTAAAGCAATTGCATTTTACAATTAAATGAATTCGGACATTTATATTTTACCTCAAGAAAAAAGAACAATTGTATCTCACGCGACACCTAGACAAATAGTTAGCTATTTAAATTCCTGAGAAGAAAGAAAAAAAGTCAAATCAAACTGACAACAAAACAGAAAAAGCTTCTTTAATTGGATCTCTTGATCCTACTGTTGTATTTTATTATGAGTTTATTTTTTTCAGAACACACATGCAAAATGCAAAGAAAAAGAAAAACGTTACAGGTTATGTTATCGGACGCACATTTATGAGGAATCTACACAATAAAAACAATGGAATTCATCACCGTCAGACAATAAAAACGTTCATTTAAATGTAACTCGTTGAACAACTCCAGTCGATGGCATTGTTATATCTGATACTGTTCTTCCACGAAAGTCTTCAATATCATCAATACTTGTACGATAAATGCTCATTCCACCAAAATGTGTCGTTTCATTATGGCTACCTGTACTATCTTCAGGTGTTTTCGTTGGATCATGATCATGTTTTTCTGATCCACTTCCTAATATATTACTTATTGTTCCACCAACACTTGAACTTGCTCCACCATGACGTTGAAATGCTTGCATGGAAAATCGACGATTTTTTCGTCTTTGTCCATGTCGTTTTGTTAAATGTGGATTATCTTTACGCATTGTTTTTGTTTTTAAAACATGTAATGATGTATATAAACGTTTTAATTCCGCCTTGAATAATAAAACAATTTAATATTGAAAAAAAAGAAACAATAATTAAAAAAAAATTCTTACTCGAATTTCTTCGGGATCCATATCGCGAATATTTAATTCACCAAATTCAATATCACCATTCGATTGTAATTTTGTAACTAAGTCTGTTGTTTCAACACCATCAGGTAATGAACGAAATCGATCTCGTCCAGCATATTCTTCATTAACTGGACGAAATATATAACATAACTAAATTAATTAATTAAAATAATTATTTTCAAAAATGTTTTCTTTTTCTTATTTCTTTTCATATTTACTTTTGTACAAAAAATAAATATTATCATACATGTGACTGTACTATGACATCGAAAAAATGATAACATAAAAAGGGTATCCGGATCAATGGATGCCCATAAACAATCTCTATGATAATTGAATAAAAATTTTTTTTTTTTTTTTATTAAAAGAATTATTCTTTGTTTTTTTTCTTTTTATTTTAAACTTACTTAATAATATGAAGTAATGTTGAGAAAAGCATTTCACAAACAACAACAATTGTAATTAATTTACGTTCATGATATTCACATGGAGCTGTTCGTGTACTATAAATAAAACGAATTCCAACACAAAGAAAAACAAATTCCGCTAAAAAAAAAGTTATAAATAAAATTCAATTAAAATCCTAATTTAAATTACAAACCAATTTGAACAAGATAATCCCACGAACGTGGTCGACATGTTTGAAAATAATTTTTATTTTTATAAGTATAACCATGTCCTAATAAATATTCTTCAAGTGAAACATTTTCATATGCATGATCAATATTAACAAATGTCCAACCAAGTAAATAGCCAGTAATAGATATTGATATAAAAAATAATATTCGTAAAATATCTTTCTCTTTTACTTGTACACAATGTGCTTTACGCGATTGAAATTCCGCTAACATTCTAATTAAAACATGAAAATAGAAAAAATTTCTTTTTTTTTTTTTGCTTTTGTAAAATTTACTTATAAATACGTAGGATTAATGTACCGTAAACAATTGTAAAACCAAGTTCACGAAGCCTTAAAAAGAAAAAAAAAAGGCCATTTTTGATTTTAATGAATACATAAAGAAAGTTTATAAAGCGAATAGTAAATGTCTATTCATGAGAAATTAATAAAAACACTATTGATTATCTTTCATTTTGATTCAATACATTTTCTTTTTTTGACATAACAGATATTCATTAAACATGGATTTTCTTATCAAAATATGACTTAGGTTTATAATTTACCGAGTCATATATAGATAATTATTTATCCTATCGATAGATCTTATACACGTTTCTATATGCCAAAATCTTTTGATACAATCATAGTAGTCGTCAAATATCCGACTACCAGATAAACAGTATCTATAGTTGCATCTTTTATGATTGATATTTTTACTATAAATAGAATTTAGTAAATCCTGATTCCAAGCATTAATACAAGATCAATTGCTCTTAATGCAATGTGAGTTTCCAATAAAGAAACCAGCTGTTGTTCTTTCTTTGAACATCGAAAAGTACTTTTCTAGCTTGCCATTACTTTGAAGCGTTAATATCAATGCTTTTATTAGCAAACAAAGCTCCAAATGTCTTAACTGCGTAACAAATAGGAGACGCCAATTTGTTGTGATCTTGAGGCGCAATAACATCTGTATTATTTAGAACGATCTTGGCATATATCTCTGTTCTAATAAATGGCTATAAGTATGAAAATTTCAGGAAATACTTGACTAGACTAGAGAACTTACTGAAGAAATTTTCAATGCATATGTTTGAAACTAGTTATAGGCTATTTTTTGACGACTCTTATCAATTTGTATGTTGAACACATCCAAAAATAACTTGATAAATCAATCAAACTACGATTTGTTTATGTGATTTTTTTTTCATCGATGATAGAGACAGCACTAAGCTCTCGAATGAAGATTCAAATGATGTGAACTTTATTTCGAATGTTGAAATATTCTTATTTTTACTACTTGCGATTAGGATTCATCGAGCGTTATTTGTCGATAAAATACAAGATTGAATGATTCTTATTTAGATATTTTATTAGTTGGTAGCAGAACTTTTGACGATTACTTTAAATACGTTCCTTTCAAGAATATTAAATTTTTCCTTATAAATATCCATTGTTTGAGTTCTATGATTTGAATTGACAAGAAGACTACTATTCATATATATCACTTAGAAATAATAGACAATCGATTGTCGTCTAGCTTTTCGTCTTACATACCAAGGCATTATTAAACAAACGATTCCATGTGGACCAAAGCTATCAACAATAACCTAAAGAATAATAGTTTAGAAAAAATCCGAATTAAATAAATTATTGACAAAAAGTCAAATATAAATATTTCTTACTGATGCATAAAGTAATGCCGCTCCAGAAAGAACTAATTCAAGTAGAATCCACATTGAATGTTTAATTATTTTAATTTTACGTCTTTGAAATATAATAGCAGCAAGTATAGCAACAAAAACAATAAATATCGATTGAATAAATATAATTATTGTACGTAAAAACCGATTATATTTTACTAAACATAAATGTGGATTACATTCACATGTATTTATACTTGGTTTTGATGGCATATCATTATTCGTTTCATTCCATTCTAACTCTTGGCCACTAATACTTATTGATGTATTACCATATGGACCTTTACAAAAACATTCATATGCACCTAATTTAAAGCCTTGTCCAGCTTGATGAATACACTAACAAAAGAAAAAGTGTAAAATGTTAGAAAGAAAAACAAACTAAATCAAAAGGAAGATATTTCTACCTTCATGCTATCTGGACATCTGTGTGTACCTCCAAATGGTACGTCATTATTTGCACATTGGTTAATATCAATAGATGATATATTGAAATAAGTGATGAACAAATAACTAGAATAAAATAAAGAATCTATAAATCTTCATAAAATTTTCCTTTATATTTTTTTACTGGTTTGTTAGAGGCAAAATATTTGCCATAATAAAAGTTTCATTTTTATTCTTTGTACATAAAACTGGTCCAAGCCACCAACCATTTGTAGTTAATATACGTTGTTGATCATTATTGATTGTTTCTCGTACATTGGACATTGTGAAAGTTTGTAAAATAGTATCTTGCTTAATAATATCATCATGAATATTGTCATAATCAATTATATTTGATATTGAAGTATTTATACGTGAATATTTAATTACATAAGAGCCAATATTATCATTTGATAAAATTCTTATATTGACTTCTTTAATATTTATTTGACTGGCTAATAATATACGTATATCTAAACTATAATCATGACGAAATTTTTCTAATATATCTTCATTTATATGAGTTGATGTTTGATTTAAATTCATACGAATTTTATTTGTTGTTCGTTTTAATGCAATTATTTCATCGTGAAATGATTGTTCAATTAAAAGAATAATTTGTGATGATAAAGAATTTTCTAATGGTAATCGATAAATGCCATCTAATGCCATATTTATTGTACAATCAGTTAATACAGATGAACTTGCTCGATTTAATAATATTCCACCTAACATAGTTTTATAATGTTGTTTATCATTAATATTGGGAATTTGTCTTTTTAGACGATGTTTTATTGATATATGTGAATTTTTGGTATGAAAAAAAATCAAAAAACTAATAGTAAATATAAGAATAAATATCATTAAACATGAATAAATTGACATAAAATGAAAAAACGATTGTTTGGATTTTGAATTTGACATATTATTATTATTATTATGAATATGATGTTGATGCTGTTGTTGTTGTTGTTGTTGTTTAAAATTAAATATAAGATGATGGAAAAAAAAATTAATAATCTTTTTATTTCATGATAAGATTCTTAGACTAAAAAGGAAAATAGATATAATTAACGTAGAAAAAAAAACAAAAGAATAACATCAAGTGTAAAACGAGAATTCTAGATAAACACAAACATAACAAATAATTCTCTATGCATACTTTAGCATGTCTATCAACGATAGTTAAATATAAATATCTATATTAACTTAGCATTTATCTTAGTTTGTGACATAAATTAACGTAATGTAAATCCTCAGTTTTCAATCAGACTACATATATATTTACGTATTTGACGTCATCGTATCGATTTTCTTATCTTATGGACTGTTCTATTTAAGCTATATAATAATGTGAGACTACTCAATGTCATTGTCGTCATTATTGTCTCAAAGACTAAATCTGTTCTCTCTTTTCTTTTCTTTTTTTTCCTTGTAGACCGTCGAACCGAACGCAAGTAGACTTGCGTTTGCAAGCTTGCTCTATAATTGATCATTTGTGTTTTGGCATTCACTTGGTTCTTCATCCTGAATACAATGATTGAATTGTGTGCGATATTGATGAATTGGGTTAATCTTAGAGTTATTCTTATGTGTCTAAGGAATAAATATCTGAATTCTATGTTGTAAAAGAACTCATTATATTACACATCGATAACAAGTTTTCTTTTTTTCTTTGATTAGATTGTCTTCGTTAGTCACGAGTTGTTAAGGTTATTCTTATTATATACGATTGGTTTCATCGATTGAGAAGACATGTTCACATGTAATCAATGAGCGTCTGTTACATGAATAACAATGAAATATATAAAGCATATATCGGTGAATATATATAATTTAATCAATAACATGAGTTTAATGATTATGTATGTAAAATGACAGAACAAATGTTGATAATAAAAATACGGCAAAAAAGTGAATAGTAATCCTCAAGATCTATTGAAATCTAAGTCAATGATGAAAATGCATTATGTCTACAGGCACATGGAATAATCATGAACTACCTATCTCTATGTTGCTTTTTATTTATTTGTCTATAAATATAGTATTGTTGTATATTTATAATATAATCAAAACTTACCACAAATAATTAGATGTCCATTTTGATGTTGTAGTTCTTATTAATATAAAGGAGAAGGATTATTATATATATATATATGAATATGATGCGTTAGTTTTCTTTTTCTCATTTATTTTAAACTCTTCTCATTTTCTACGCTTGATTTTTCACACACTAAAGTTTTTTTCTTTTTTCTTTTTCTTTTTCTGCACACTATTTTTTTTGTAGATATGTAACCGAAGGACACAGGAAGAAGTATCGCTTTATATTGTTTTTTCACATACAGACATAAACATTCTATCGATCTATCTATTTTGTTCTACTATATACCACTATCTAAATTTATTGACAGGCATATAGTCAAATGTGTGTGCGCACGCCTGTCTTTAGACAAGAGAGGAGAGGGAGAGAGAGAACCAAGGGGAGCGAGAGAGAAAGAGAGAGAGAGAGCTATGAAAAACGGAGGGGCAATTTTTTCGCACTCTCCTGTGCGTATGTTCTAATTCTCACCGGAATTCTTCAACCCGAGCGCACGGTCGTTTCCTTTAGACGACAACGGCTCAAGTCGATACACTACTACATATAAACATAAATGTAGATTTCATGTTCGCATCGGCAGAAAGCTTGGTCTCTAGTAGGAAACCAGTACTAGAAACATCTTTTCTTCTACCACTATTCTTCGGTTTCTTTTTCTTTATGTTCTGTGCTTTTTCATTTTGCTTTTTCTTTTATATATATATATATATTTTCTCTCTCTGATGAGCGTGGAAATGCTTTGGTCGGAACCGACGATAGTCTCTTGCTGCTACTACTACTACTACTGTTCTTGTTCTTCGACGACGGTGACGCTAGGAAAAATGTCGTTTTTTTTCCTTATATTTGCTGCCGTTTCTTGTCATATTTTGGACAGCAGTAGCAACGACGTTAGTCTTTAGGGTCGTTGTCTTCTTCGCCTCGTTCTTGTTCTCTTTCTCTCATTTTTTTTTTCTTGTGACGACAAACTGAGAATGCACAAGCGCTCGCGATGTTTAGCGTAAACCGAATGATAATGATGATGAGTGTGCTCGTTGTTCTTTCTGCAAAAAAAAATGATGTAGATACAGAGCAAAGAAAAAGAAGCGAGCTACACAGTTGATAAACGATTGCTTATTCACTATCGTATTAGTAATGCTCGACTTTCTCAGAAAATGTCACCCTCATTCACAATGAATGCATTGTATTAACAAAATAAAAAACAAGCTTATATATTAATATATAGATAAAAATCATCAAAGCGTCTCAGTTAATATATACATATATATATATTCTTATTGTGTTGGATGACAGATATAAAACCTGATAAACACAAGATAACTGTCCTAAAGATATGCATGTGTTTATCTGTTATTTTGATAATGTATTTTTGTGAGAAATTTGCAGAATAAAGATGTATCTTTTGGTTGTCGAGACAAATACACAGATGCTATCTTATTTGTTAATAATATATGCGTATATGTGTGTGTATTGATGATAAACAAATAAAATGAAGTGGAAATACTTAAAAGATTTTCTATGATCGATCATGTTGTTGTCATCGTTTGGAAGAGAATAATTTCTATCTATTTAATTCATTTTTTATCCGTCTTCAATCGATTAATATGAGTAGTTGATAGTTGTTGTATGGAAGAAGAAGAAGACGAAGAGAAAAAAAGGCAATCGTGGACTTAATAAGAACTTTTCTGTTTTCAATTCGATGCATTTTAGTTTCCCGACAAACGGCATCAATAAGTATCTATCCACTTGATATTTTATCTAGGAAAAAGAAAAACACTAACAAATATTCTAAGAGAAATCAGTAGATTTAATTTGGTTTTAATCAATAACAACATGTTTTTTTCTGTTCGTCACTTTCTGTTAAAATCCATTTGCTATGCGTTAGAGGGACTCTTTTTTTTTTACACTTATTATAATAATAGCATTACATTGATCCATTTTCCTATATTCAATATAGAACTATTAAATAGATGATTTTGATGATGTTTACAAATGTTGATATGAAATGAAAAATGTATTAATTACAAATTATTTTATAGACCTGTTGTTTTCCCTTCTATTGTAATTTATTTTTATGTATAACAAAAATGAATAATAATATATTTATTATATTCAAGAAAAAATACTATAAGAAAAAATTGCTTCCTTGAAATAATTGCTCTTGTAATTGTTGTGCATTGATGGAAAAATTGAATGATTTTAGTGGAACATATATATATTAATTGATGATGAAAATGAAGAAATTATATTTGAAATATTTTCCTATATCGATTTATATTGATTGATTATGACGACATTATCAAAAACATGACCTAAATGATAAGGATTTACGGTCATAATCTAATAAATCGGAGCGTATTTGTCAACTTTTTTCGCTATCTTAAATAGATTTGAAATAGGCGACAAGAAAACATCTTCAACTATCGGACTTGTTTAATTCCATAATTCGGCTACGCATATGAACTAAGAAATCTTTAAATGTATTTTCAAGTCCATGACCTTCCTATAAAAATATCTAATGCTCTCATCAGCCGCAACAAATGGACTATTTTACTGTTTTCGATTTTCTTTTAATTTGTTCACATTGAAAATATTTAAAATAAGATTTTCATTTCATACGATGAGATTGAATGTTTTTTTTATTCAAAACATTCGATTATTAATGTCAAGATATCATTATAATTCGATTGTAAAAACAGCAAATGAGTCTTTGGATTTTTTTTCTCTAATATAGACGTATCAACGAAGATAAGGTAAACTAATGAAAATGATATTCAATAAAGATAAGATTGAAATAAAGGGCACATTAGTGGTAAGCAAGCCAAAATTAAAGAACATTTCCAGTGAAAACAATTCACACGTATAATATTAAAAGTAAATCTTATCGTAACTATTTCAGATTTCAACGATACAAAAGAATGAAATGAGAGCTGTGGTCAATAATTGTTTTCTGCAATTTAGAAGAAGAATAAATTTCTTTTCAAGTACGTCATAGATTTAAATGTATTTTCTCAAATATAAGATCATATGGTATCTAATAGTTGAGAATTTTCTTGCATGAGCAATCAAGTATCTAAGATATATACTATTATTTTTAGGAATTTGGTAAATAAAACATTTCCATATGAGAAATAAACGATTGAATTTCATAGATTTATTATTAACACTATTTATACAACGTTTTTGTTTTATCTTAGTTATAACTTAATCGTACTGATTTATATTACATTCAATAGTAAATTTACATTATTCATTATCATCTTTCCATGATTTGTCTTCTCTACACTTTTATGGCATTTTTGGAAAACGACTCAACACAAAATTTGAAAAGTTTCAAAATAGATGAATTTCAACGAATAGAGACGAACTTATCATAGACTTACAATTTTCAAGTAATTGCCTAATGGAGATATTGAGGGGCGAAGGAAAAGACTAGTCATTATTTCTCAGCCGCGATATGTCTAATAGGGCTGAAATGTTCTTTACAGATTCAAGATATTGTTTAGGTTGTCTTAAGTTTTCCAATGTCTTTTTTATCTTCTTTTATATGAATCAAAACACAAACCTCCTAAGGACATCTCACAAACTGCATGTTTTTATAACTGAAGTTGTTTTTATAAACCCTGAAAGAAAACCATTATTA